AATAAATAGATTTCACCATAAAATTTTTTATATTAAGTATTATTTGTTTAAAGGCTTGCATTTCTATACATGGGGTTCAGAATCTAGCACCACCTTTCTGCCCAAAAACGGGGCAGAAATTCCCTGCAGAATACTGCCTATTCCCAGGGAAATTCTCCTGCAGCCCCATGTTTCATAGCAGAAAGCAGAAAACAAATAGAAGCTGTGTACTATGTACATGCCACGAAAAAAATCCATCTGTGAAAATTAACACTCATGAGGACCCCCAAGGCCTGGATCCCAAAAAGTGGGCAGTGACAGCAGCTGCACACTCAGCTGCTTCTGACAGTCTAAGCCCAAGTGGCACCCAATTGAGAAAGAGCTGAAGCCCAGTTAAATGCTGGACTAAAACACCTCAAGTGCCTGGAGGGGCCTGGGTCTGGGGAAGTTTGCCACACGTGGGGCAGCTCTGCTTGCGCATTCCTTCCGCACCCACCTCCTGCACTTTCTGCAGAAGGGCCACGATGTTAGTCCTCAGCTTCTGTAGCTTCTCCTCTGTTTCCTTCAGCTTTCTCTCTGAGTTGCGGAGGTTTTCTTCACAGGCTTTGGCCCGGGTGTCAGCGCGTGTCTGATATGAATTGCACAGGTTCTGCAGACCTACCTCATACTGTTTGAAATATTCTTTCTGTAGAAGACAAAACACAACAGATGACACGTTAAGAAGAAGCACCAAGCATCAAGAAAACCCCAGCACTCGCAACTGGAAGAGTCCAGCTACTGGCACGCTGTGACCGAACACCACCAGCCCAACACCACGCCCCTGCACACCCTGCCCGCTGTCTTTACTATGCTCACATTTACATTTCTGATTTGCCTACTGCAGGCAGCACAAAAATCACATGGGTTTTCACATTCCTCAAAGACCAGAACTGCAACAAAAGCTGCCTGAATTCAGATTAAGGATGCAGCATGTTTTAAAAAGCCTAAAACCACAGTTATGCTGTAGAAACATCTGACGGCCTCCGTATGCAGTGAGTTTCCTTAGTATAGACCACCCAGACAACACAGCTTATTACTGCGAAGTAGGAACATCTACACTTGCAGAAAACTCCCGACAAGACCAACATGTCCTGTGTAAGTAGCAGGACCGGTAACTCAAGCAGACGCCTGAATTAATAGAGAGAAAAGAGGAAGAGACAAGAGAGACTGCCAATATATACATTGCGAGTGAGGGAGTAGGGCACTTCGAAGACTACCAAATAAGCAGTGGCTTTTGTCATTTGGTCATCTGTAGGTGGCTTTTGTCACCTACAGATGCCTCCTGAAAAGGTCTCACTTTGTGGTATGTCAGAGAGGAGACAAGTCAGAAAAGCCAGTACCATTTCTCCACATTTCAGCCTGCACTGGACCTTCCAATACCAGCATGCAGATACTGGTACAGGCTCAGCCCCATCTGTTCCTTGCTCAAATAAACGGAGGCCACAGCAAAAGCCTTAAGATGTACACCTGACTCACAGGCGGTCAGCCTGCTCACCTGGCGAAGTGTGAGGGGGGTTGGCTTCCCTGTTCTCTCCCATTTTTAAGATTGCCTCTGTATAAGTTAGATTTATAAGCCTGGGGGCAAAACGAACAGGTATGCCTACATCCTATTTCTACAAACCTCTAACCTGGCCTCTCTTTTTAAAAAGCTTAACAGCAATGGACAAGAAGTTAGGATAGTAGCAGCCAACAGCTTTCCCACACAGATGTATGGTAATTAAAAAAATCCTCAGTCAACAACTGTCAAAAGACCTAAGGCATATTTCAGAGGCTCTCATTCTCTTTCTCAGCTATGTTAGTCTGCTAAGGATCCAAATAACCTTTTGAAGAGTGCGATATTGCATCAACAGGATGTACACTTGCCATAAGAATGAAATGTGCGTGGGGAAAAACCCCAAACTTACTTTTCTAGAAATACTGAACTCACCAAGGGAAACGCCAACAACCCTTCCGAGCTCATGGAACTCAGCTCCTTCTTGGAGATAGGAAAATTGGGAGGTAAGAAGTACCGCAAGCAATTTCTATGCAGGAAAGAAAAACACAAAGCCAGAATTGGGAGTTTAAAAGATAAAGCAATCAGACTGCAGCAGCTCACAAAAACTGCAGTGAACCCACCGAAGGATCTGGACGAGTAAGTCTACTGTTTTTTGGCTGCTGCTGGGACCAGTGGTGTCTGGCTCAATTCTGACACAGTCTGAGGTAGAAGGTTCAGCCACAACCACCTCCTCTTCCTGCTGCGTATCTGGAGCCTGGTACTCGGGAGAGGGAGGCTTCATCAACCTCACATCCTCACTGCCCTTCTCTACCCTGAAAAAAAAAAAAAAGGGAAAGTCAGGTATCTTTTTCTACATTGGCCATATCTGAAACACTGTTAACAGCTTCATCAGAACCTGTACCCAGCTGTCACTCTGAGACTTCTAGATCACACAACAGCTGCCTCCACAGGAACATCACATCAAAGCGATGGGCAGACTGTATGGAGTCTGTCATGCTCATTCCTTACAAAGCAGCTAGACAGTCCTGAGCACACACATGCTCCCTGACATGACAGCAACATATTTGTCTTCAGCATCTATGGAAGTAAAATGGGGTCTTCCTCCTAAAAGCAAAACAAGCCTCCAAAATCCAGTAGCTAGAGATAATTACCAGCGATCCCTTGGTGTGGTGTCTGTAGGAACATAATCAAACTTAACCTTCCAGCGTACTGCATGCTTGCCCATTTCCACAGCTGTGACACGGCCTGTGAACCACTCCTTGTTGACACGCACTTCCACATGCAGCCCTTTATCTGCAAGGAGGACGACAGTAAAGATGTTTGCAAACATTCAGATGCTGGGGAGCACATTCTGCATGAGCTCCAGAGAAGACAGCCACCCTCAGCAGGGAGCAAACCTAAACCTGTGACAATTTCTTCAAATGGTAAACCATAAAAACACTACTGTCACACAGTTCAACTCCTACTTAGAAACTTTAAACTGCAAGGAAATCACATGGCATTTTCATACAGAAAGTTCCTGATGTACTCCGGGCTGTTTGACATGGGCTTTCCAGGCTCATGTTGGCCACCAGGACAATTTGCCATGTGTTACTAGTGGGTCACTTTCCAGACAACTCCTTGGGAACAAGCTGAAGAAGTGCTCTGCTCTGGCAGAAGGTACAATATCATTCTGCCTGTCATCTTTCCTGGGGGTCTGTCAGCCCCTCTTCTCTCACAGCAGGCCTAGATACAGTCCTCAGCATTTCCTAGCTAATGTAGCTCCACGATCCATTCAGTTAGGAAGGGTGAGTACGACATCAGTCTACACCATGCAGCCAAGCATCACACCCGTTAACGTGACGCAGCCCTCAGATCTTCCCGTGCCACAATTGCCTCTTATCTAATCAAGGGGTTCCTGGCCAAAATGTTTTATGTGAGTTAGAGTCATCTCGAGGATACACTAATTCTTATTTTAAAAAGCTCATTAATGAAATCACACGTTTAGCCAGTGACTCTAGTTCTGCAACAGTACTTTTCCACTGTGTTAGACACCAGAGGCAGTTAAAGGGTTCATTTCTTACCTTTCTGAGCTTTCTTCAGTTCAGCCAGCTCTTCTTCCCCAGCACTGTCTGTGAGCTGTGAGCAGAGAGAGCTCAGATTAGCTGCCTCCCAACAAGATTATAAACACTTGACAAATACCTTCTGCTGGGGAAACCACTGCACTCTCACCTCTACCACCACCTCACTGGAATCCTTCTTCTCTTCTTTCACTGCCACAAATTTGCCCCGTTTTGTCTTCTCCTTCTTGTGCTCCCCCTCCTCCTCAGACCCGTCCTCTGTAGTGTTCAAGGTCCTCTTCCGAGTGGTGGAGGCCTGTAGGAGGCAAACAAGCTCTAGCTATTATTCCAGCATGCTACCAACCAAAACCTTCTTTCAGCCAAGTTAAAAAAAAGAAATGCTCAGCATCCAATATTTGATTTGATAGTTAATTAGCTTTTCCAGAAGATTTTAGCAGGTGCTACATGATCATGCAAATGCTCACCCTGCCACTCCACATTCTTTTTTTCTGGGGAAACAGTCTGGTCTAACAGGGAAGAGATGAAACGAGTCTTCACGAGGGGTGTAGAATGGCACCCTAACCCAAGAGTAAAGTAAAAGTTATCTTGTCCTGTGCAGGGACTACAGTGCAAATCCCATATGACAGAGCAAGACAGGCTATGCAGAATAGTAGGTAAGGAGCTGACAGTTTTCATCCCATCGAGTCTCACCTGTGGGCATTTGACAGTGGCAGATTTCTTTAGTGCTGGCACCTTGGCAGCTTTTGGACTGGGTGTCTCACGTGGGCTTTTGGGGTTCTGCAGGACAGCAGAGGGTGGTTTTGTTGTTGTACCTGGTTTGGCAAGAGTTTTTAAAGCGCTATTAGACTTTCCAGCTGTCACAGTGTGCTGGTGTGTCCTGGAAGTGCTGGCCTCCTCCTTGGAGAGCATGCTTGCTAGTTTGGGAGTGCTGATATTTGGCCAAACTGAAGAGCTCTTTTTCAGCTGACTGATGGACTTGGGAAGAGGCGTAGGTGGTGGTGGCGGTCTGCTGGGAGCATTCTTGATTACATCAGGTAAAGGAGGAGATCGTGGGCGCTGAGGTCGGATCTGTGACTGGGTGTTCTGAAACAAATGAGGGTAACAGAGAAAGGATGGAAGAGTTGGGCACTGCTTTTCAGAGCAGCTAAGGATAGCACAGAAGAGTACAAAGCCTGCAGTGGTATCCCATTTACCTCCCCTGCAGGCCGTGTGGTCACTTCTAGAGGCAGTTTCTTTAAATCCGCTTGAGATCGAATTGGAGTGGTTTTCTATTTAAAAAAAAAAAAAACCACAAAAAAAAATCAGAAAAGCCATCTTTAAAAGCTCTCAGGGTCTGCCTGAACCCAGCCCAGCAAACAGTTTTCCAGTTTAAAATCAACAATTATAAGAAGGTGTGTTCTGTGTCCTTCAAGAGACATCCCTTCATCCGAACACCAGCAGTCACTCCCATTTTCCTAGCAGAAAATGAAATGCAAGCTGAGATGTTTGTTTTCTGTTATTAAAACAACCCCTACCCCATGAAGGAGCACAGGTGGCATTACAGGCTGAGACAGACATGACTCAGCATCAGCCAGTTGCACTAGGAGGTCCCTCAAACCTGCTGTGGTTAGCTGGAGACCTCCAGATTCACCTGCAGAGCTTCCAGCTTCTCCTGCTGTTGGCGGATTTTCTCTGTCAGTTGCTTCTGCTTTTCCTCCTGTGATTTCAAGTCTTTCTTCAGAGTTCCCAGTGGTACCTTCTGCTTCTGCTCTGCAGCTTCACATCTAGCATGAAGGGAATGCAAGACAACCTCAGCAACAACAGCAGAACCTGCACTGTCACACACACAGCACTGTCCTCCCCTTACCCCATCCCAAATGCAGCAGTAAAACCACTTCTCTTTCTGCAGTAGCCACAATCTCAAAACCAGTGGTTTTCTTCTTGGCAAGCACATATATGATTTAAGGATCAAAAGCACAGTTGTTAAAAACCAAGCCATTTACGCTGGGAATTACCAATTCAGAGCCCAGGAGCTAAACAAAGCTTAGGAACAGCTGCGACTTGTTTTGTATATTGTTTCTGTACTCTGGACTTTTACAGCAACTTTCCTTCCTATCAACTTATGTCTTCATATCAATTCCTCTTTTTACAGACTTCCTTTCCATTTAGAAAGGAAAGCTTATTACCAGTAACCCATTGTCCTGGTTTCAGCTGGGATAGAGTTAATTTTCTTCCTAGTACCTGGTATAGTGCTGTGTTTTGGATTTAGTATGAGAATAATGCTGATAACACACTGATGTTTTAGTTGTTGCAAAGTAGTTGTAGTGCTTACACGAAGTCAAGGACTTTTCAGCTTCCCATGCTCTGCCAGGTGCACAAGAAGCTGGGAGAAGGCAGAACCAAGACAGTTGATCCAAACTGGCCAAAGGGATATTCCACACACAGTCATGCAGGGATGATGTGAGACAGGAAAGCAGCAGTACCAACACAACTCTTGCACAACAGAAGAGATCCAGCTGACTCCTACACTGCCTTGGAGCCAAGCCGTTAAAAACTTCCTGCACGTGGGAGTCTTGCAGATAAAGGGAGGACCGCGCTCTCGTCATGGATCACACAGAGCTCCAAGAGGCTGATGAGAGATGATCTCTGATCCTGAGCCTGCCAACTGATGGGATATCCCCTAGTCTGCGAGATACATACTGTGATCAGCTTTGTCAGCGGAAAGAGCACAAGCAGTTTCTCCATCAGCCTCCTCTCAGCTGAAGCACTGCAGGGGAGTTTTTCATAGAGTGATTACTTCCTCAGCTAAGAAAGTATCTGTCATCACTGCAAAATGACTGCCTGACACCAAAGCTGCAATTCCCAAAGATAAAGCTGAACAACTGGCACCATACACAAGTTTCCCAGCAGAGAAATGCCATCTTCTATGCCATTGAATGGATTGAGGCTGAAAACATTTTTAAGCTGTATCTTACAGCACAAGAAAGTATGAAAATGCCCATTAGTTCTGCCGACAGCAAAAAATTAAGACTACTCATGACATTCAAAACCACAGATTGCATCAGTAGAGGCAGCAAGTCAGAAAAAAGGAATTATCTTTGTAGTCAGAATAGTCTGCAACTCGGCACCAAGACTTTAGTGTTGCTCACGGAGCTTTGAACCAGAGAGTCATCTTCAGCTGGTGTTTCAGCCATGAGTCCAAACGCCATTTAGGACCCAACTGGATTTTAGATAGGAAAAGGGAGGAGAGCGAGCCTGACACTGAAGTGTGACATAGGCACGCTGCCTTCTCTGTGACAAAGTGAGCAATGGTGCCACTTAGTGGCCCCAACTTAGCTGACCCCAACATAGACCGTGGCATCGGAAGGGGTGACTGCTTTACATGACAGAGATGGAGAAAGGCATTCAGCTCCCATGATCCGGGACAACGTGCCACCAGCAGAAACTGAGGTATAGGTGGACAAATTAGAAGGGTGGGGAACAGCTCAGTGCCAATAGTGGACACAATGCAGGCAGACAATGCTGAGGCAGCCAAAACCACCACGTGGTCTTCTGATGCCAGGAGAGAGACTGAACATCAACTCTGACAGTGCTTCATCTTCAACTTGGCTGGAGGAGATTCTGCACAGACCCTCATGGCGCACAAGCTCGAGGCCCCCTACCTATGGTGGCAACAGCAGTGCTTCCCAAATCCTCAGTCCTCCCTCAGACAGTACAAATACCTGGAATAGAACAGCTAGGGCACATGGTCAAGACATAGAGGTGAAGGTGTCCAAACCCATGGCACAAGGACACAGCAAGAAACATCAGGCAGTAGAGCACTTGGAAGGGAAGTTCAGAAGTGCAGTGACTGCAAGGAAGCCCTGCTTTCTACTGGCACCAACCAAGCCAGAGGAGTGATAGTGCAACGTCTGTAGATAACCTTCTGCCTCGTGTAAAAGGACACAACTGCACTCACTGTTGGAAAGTGCACGTGAGCCTACTCAATCCAGAAATATTCTGGAGTTATCCTCACAGAGTAAGACTCTTGAGATCCCTTCAAAGAAGCTGAAATGACCAGAAGCACTTCACCTGCCCTTTCCCACCTACCTGCAAGGGGGATGTGGGACGACACCATGCGTGCGCACATTGCGGAGGCACTCTAACTCGCTCCAACCAACATCCCAACATGTTCTCACATGAAATGCAGCCAAACCCCTCCAATTTTTCAAGGTTTTGCAAACACAAAATTTAAACTCTTTCATCAGTAAACCAAGTTCCTGTTAGGTTACATGATAAAAAAGCTCGTCTGCACATACACAAGAGAGCACAAAGACAGCGGGAGGTGGGGGAACCTGAGTAACATCCTTCCTTGGCTACTCCCAGGCCATCCCAGGAGCCACCAGCCCATCCAAGGCCCATTTCCACAAGCCCAGAGGCCCAAAGGCAGCTCAGGGAATGCAAATTCCCTGAGGAACAGATACCCCATTTGGGGGGGTATCAGTCCCAGGGCTCAGCCCCAGTGTCCAGTCAATGGGAGCAGCTCTCCGAAGCATCTTTTGGACCGATGGGAGGAACAAAAAGTAGGTAAAGGAATGGATTGAGATGATCTGGGAGGAACAAACATGGGAAAAGGCTAAAAAGGGACAGTTGTACATAAACAGTTGGCCGGTCAGTACACTTGTCTTTGTACTAAACTCCATTTCTAACTATTTTTCTGGGCAAGGGGCGCATGTGTGTATGGGGGTCTGAGTGCCAGCAGCTGGAATGGGACCGCTGGTCGCAAGGGCCCATGTGCCTGGGTGCCACCAGCTGCAGTGATTGCAGGCGTGCACATGAACGTGTGATTCAAAGCAAACGTCGGGCCAGACGAGCCAGCAAGGAGGTGTCCTGGGAGCAAGGGGAGGGGGTGTCTAAGGGCAAGCCCTCAGGAGCTGACTACTGGAGGGACTGGGGAGTCCTGCCCGACTGCTAGAGACGGGTTTGGGGGTGTAGGCAGAGCTGTGGGTGCCTCTGGGCAGGAGGCACCTGGGAAGAGCAAGGATCCAGATCCGCTACGAGATGGAGAGTGTGCCCAAGGTGAGACACTGGGAGGTCTGTAGTGTGTATGTGGTATCTTTGTCCATGTGAGGAGGTCTGTACCCCTCACCCCCTCGGGGCTCATCTATGCCAGTGCAAGTAACCAGAGGGACGAGATCCCAGGACCAGATACGGACATAAGTATTTCCACTAGTAGTCCTTCATCCTGATCAGCCAAGAGGGAAGAGGATGAGGCTGCTGGTGCAGTTTGCGTGACGGCTGCGCGTGTCCGCCTGTGTTGATCTGCATGGCTGGACATGTATACATGCATGGTCTATCTGTGTTTGTGAGTGCATCTACCAGCAACACATTCCCAGCCTCGCTACTGCTTCCACCTGGGGGGCTGCAGGTGTGGCAGCCTCTTCTCGGGCTTGCAGATTCGGCCCTGCCCCAGCAGTTTAGTCGGAGGACATCCTCAGCGCAACCACACTCTTCGTAGCTCCGCACCAGGGCACAAATACATGGAGCAACAAGGAAGTTAGCATCGGTATTCTTCCAATGACAGGTGCCAAAAGGAAAAAGCCAGAAAATCAATACTTTCCAAATATCAGTCAACACTTCTTTGTAGCCTTTTCAGCCACAGATGTTAAAATTTTTATTCCAATTAAAAGTTACTACCTGGATTAATTCCTTTTCTCTTTAAACACTGAGCCAAGGCACCTAAATTACAGCTGAGCAGCTTCATACAACAAAGACAAGAATCAGCTTCTAGCAGTGTCTCTCTCCACAGAGAAAAGCAGCCAAGAGCAATCATTTTCCTCATTCAAATAAATTACTAGATTCTACCTAAATTTTATAACTGTGAAACACACCGCTGGTAAATGAATCAATGTGTTGCTCCCTCAAGTGTGCAAAATGTCATTCTTGGGCTCACTGCAACTCAGAGGTGTTGCTGCAGTTTGCGTGTCTAATGGGTTGGAGCTATAGTAGCAAAAAAGACAATTGCAAAGACTCCACTGAACATGTACTGCTCCCAGCCTGCACTTATGACTATTCTTTAATTGCTGTCTACGCTACCTACATTAAAATTAACATGCACAAACTAATCATATTTCCAGTGGCAGTGCAGAAAAAACATAAAGGAACTTAATTTCACCAAATCAGTGGTTGAGGTTGGAGGGGCCTCTGGAGGTCATCAGGTGCAACCTCCTGCTCTGGCAGGGTCACTCAGAACAGGTTGCCCAACCTCCCTGGGCAACCTGTGCCAGGGCTTGGTCACCTTCACAGGGAAAAAGTGTTTCCTGAAGTTCAGAGGGAACCTCCTGTGTTCCAGTTTGTGCCCATTGCCTCTGGTCCTGCCACTGGGCACCACTGAGAAGAGCCAGGCTCCGTCCTCTTTGCAGCCTGCCTTCAGGTACATTGATGAGATACATCATACATTGATGAGATCCTGAGCCTTCCAGGCTGAACAGCATATACTGGTGCCTGGGGTTGTTCCTCCCCAGGGGCAGGACTTTGCGCTTCTCCTGGTTGAACCTCATGGGGTTCCTGTTGGCCCATTTCTCCAGCCTGTCCAGGTCCCTCTGGATAGATGCACGACCCTCTGGCCTATCAGCCACTCCTCCCAGTTTGGTATCATCTGCAAACTTGCTGAGGGTGCACTCTGCAATTTGTATATTGCGCAAATGCCCACCAACATGTCAGTTCCGAATACATACATCATCACTACTTTTTTACAGACTGTGAGCACAGCTTAAAGGTACAGAATTACTGCCTATCCCTCCAATCATTCTCAAAGAATAGACGACCAGGAAAAAAAACCAAAAACCACGTGCAGATAACGCACGCTGCAGAAAAGTCTTTATATTAACTGATTCTTACCTGTCTTGTTCAGGATCAGGGTTCATCGAGCATACCCAGCTATCAGGGTAATTCTTCTCCACTGAACTCAGCTGGAATGGGAGAGTCCGCCATTTCAGACATACATCTGTTAGACAAACAATTTGCAAGTCAGAAATATACAGCCTGAGCCACAAAATCATTTTTTTCCATAGCACTTCTCAAGCCCATTTAACACCCAAGGACCACAACAATTTCCAAAGTATATCCAAAGACAATAAGACTAACGGCCACAAAAAAAAAAGTGAGACAGCCACAGGATATACTGAGTCAATTATTGCTTCATGCTCACAAAATGCTTGGAGGAAGACCTCAAATGTTGTACGAGGCATCCATAAAAAGAATCTGATGAAGTCTGGCATCAACCAATACTAGAGGATGTCACATACACTGCTGCAATGACAGCACGTACTGAACAGCCAGTCCTGAAATCACTGCTCATCTGAGAAGTCAGGCTGTCTCTTACTGATATCAACACAAAACAAGTCAGAGATTAATCCACTAAAAAAAAAATTATAATAATCTAATAAATTTTAGATGAACCAGGAAGACAGATTTGGCTTCCAGAGCATTGCTGGCCTACCAAGAAATCAACAGCTTAAAAAAAATCAAGTTTTGCCAAGAAAATGCAAACATTCTTAAATCAGGCTCTGGAAGGATGTCAACAGCAGAGGACAAGAAGAATGACAGGAAAGCCCCTCCTCTTTGGCAGGAATTGGAAAGGACTAAGAAAACTGTCAAGGCAGGAGAGCCTAACAAAATAATTCCACAAGACTGGCCTCACATTCCTTGCTACACCCTCATCCCCAAGTCCTGTGGGGAAAATGAGGTCGAGGGAGTTTGGTGTCTCTCTACTAAGAGACAAAGCGATTGTCTTGAGATCTCCCTTACCAGTAAGGGCTTAGCCACACCTGTTTAGAGGTGCATGAAGAGAACTTGCATTAAATTTGAAAGTTGACTGTAAATGCTTCCCTTCTGTGCTCAGACCTAGTACCTACCAGCCAATGCATCAGAATACAAATTACTTGGCCACTTTCCATTGCCTATGGGGAAGTTTCAGATCTTATTCTAGTGTTGGGATGGGTGGCTTTGGCCAGTTCCAGTTCATATGACATTTCTAAGCCCATTCTCAACATTGCTACTGGCCACACCTGCCCCTTTCTGTGAGGGCACCTGAAGAACATCACAGTTAGTAAACACTGCAGGAAAGGAACCTTATGCCAAGATGTCTAAGTGTATCATCAAGTGCAGACAAAGGCAACTCACAGAAGGAGACAAGCCCTACAAGGGGATAATGATAGTGAAGCTCATGTCAAATCTCCTACCCATCTAGCTGCCCACAACTGCAGCCAGGAGTACCTCCCCACTTCCTCAGGGAGGACCAGCCTCCTAATTGCAGCCTGGTCGGACGCACCGCACTGAATCGTGGTAGGGATCTCCATGGCTCTCCGGCGTTTGTAGCGCAGTTCACTAGATGGAGGCTGGTTCCAGTTTGCTGACAAATAACCAAATTCATCCCAGAACTTGATGATACCTCTCTGGGCTGGAAAACAAACAAGCCCCCGCTCAGTATGGAGCCATTACCACAAAAATCACCACTTGCACTCTTGGCTGCCCTCCCCCTTAACTGCCTTCCAGCCACCAAAGTTTCCCCTTCCAGCTCTTGGTAATTGTGAAGCTTCATTACCTATAGCAACATCCTTCCAATACTGAGCCAAATGCTCTCCCATGGCCTTCAGCAAGTGTCGATACTCTTTGGCATCAGCGAAGTCTTGTTTATTATGGGTTGGCTCCAGAACCAAATAGGGCACATCCACCACGCCTACCACTCCACCACATGCCCTGGAAGAGGCACACACAGTCACAAATATCATTAAACTACCAGGTCGTTGTTCAGAGAAACGATATTGAAAATAGCAGGTTACACACACACACACTCACTCACCCACCCATTCCTGCAGCAGTACTGGCTTTAATTTATCAGCTTTCTAAATCAGACTCGAGCTGGCATGCAAAAAGTAAGGTGGGCTCAAATATTTGTATTTGCTTTCAAGACCTATTCTCCCTGTCCCTAGAATGAGGCAGTATTGCTACCAGTATTCATCAGCCCCAAATGCCACTATTGAGCACAAAAGCCTCATACTGCCGCAGGTATGACCAAAATTTGTGTAGAGAACTCTCTATCAAGAAACCAGGAAAATACTGGGCAATATTAAATATAATTTATTTGTCAGAATACAAATTAAAGGCTGACAAAATGAGTAAGCCTCATGCTCAGGAAGAATGATTAATGCAGAACAAAGTTATTTTGCACAGCCTGTTATATGTAGGAACATGCCACGCTTAAGCAAAAAGATGGCTGAAAAAAATCTCCAGGAACTCACATGCCACCTTCCAGCTGTGGGCCCACCTTCTCATACATCTTTATCAGTCGACTGCAGTTATAAATGAACATGCCATCCAATTCACGCTGCTCAATATTCACACCAAAGATAAAATTCAGTTCTTTGGGTTCCTTCAGTGCCCTGTAAGAGCATGAAACAGAGCCTCAGAGATGTTGAAAATAAAACTAATTATTTGCTGTCATTAGACAGAGGATATGGATATCCAGCACCTTTGAGCATTATGGGTTTACTAACACCTGTCGTGGAGTCTGCTATTTCTAAAAAACACAAAGCATTTGTCAAATGGGCATTACAACTAAACATGAACAAAATACAAAAACTTTGCAATACAGACACCAACTTAGGCTGGTCAGTATCTGTTCAGATAATTTAATTAGTCATTTGGATATGTTTTCTCCTTCACAAATGGATTCTGGGTTTTATTTCAGATCTACCTGTTCAAAAAAATCGCAGTTAACTAGTTTTATGAAAGTACTGTTAGGCACAGACTGGTCCTCTCCAATGCTATTTTGGTTTGTATTTTCCAGATGTAGATCCCTATGCTAGATAAAGCATGGAAATTAAGATTTTGATACAAAGCTACAGTCTTGATATCCAGATTCTGGGAAAGTTCTCATAATTACAAGTTTTACAATGCTATTACTCTAAGTTTGAAAGTTGGAAAATACAACACACAGCCCAAGCAGAGTTTTTTTTCTGGAAATGACAGGATAGCTATTTGCATGATTTCTACTTATCTGTGTAGCAGATGACTTCAACAAAAGTTGGCCTCACATATGTTTGTGAGCACATACGGATTTCTGAATCTGAATCTTTGATTAGCAGTAATTGTATCTCCTGCGATGCAGAAAGTCTCAAGAGATTTAGATCTCTCTACGTTATAAATCAAACAAAATCCCCGCGTCTCACAAACAGAACTACTGCTCTTTAACAGACTAAATTAAGTAGGTTCCACAGCTTCCATGAAATCTATGCTGAGGATTTTTCACAATAAGGATCCTCGGTTTCAGGTTGAAGGTATCATCAAATGTGAGGTCTAAACTTTCAACTATTGCAAGGCATAGTCTATACCACTGTCCTACCCACCCCTCTCATTTTTGACCTCCCTTATTTCCCACCCCCGCCCCATCAAATTCTTAGCACTCGTGGGCTTTATCCCAATTAGGAATTTGACTTCTCCTTAAGTTGAAGATAGTGGAATTCTTTAAAATGATCCGTTGACTGTCTGCTAGTATTAGATATTAAAAGAACCTGAGCTGTGCCTGCATGAGCACTGCACAATAAATAATCTGCAGATATAAGATGTAGGTGTGTCTTAACGGTCAAGCATCTCAAAATAAATCCCTGATATAGATTCATTTCATGTTAATTTTCTGTTTAAAGCCATCCTCTTTCTCACACAGATGTATAGGTACCCTGTAACACACATTCCTTTAAAACAGATGACTCTAAAATAAGTTACTAGGAAAACAACTGGAATAGCAGCTTTCAGTAATTTTAAATCGAAACCTTTGCCAAGAGGTGTTTAGAACACTTGCCAACATAGAAGCTGGGCTAGAATGTTATCCTTTTGGTCTCAGCTTATCCAGGTGGACAACTGTGATTTGAGAGCATGAGTAGGTGTGGCAAAACAGCCATCTCAGGGATTAATTTTCTTTTTCTAACTTTTGGAAAAGGACGTAGAGCCTTAAATTTCAACTAACAATGTGCACTCACCTACAAAAGAGGAAGGGCATCTCCTCATTTTTATCAGAGAGGACAGGAAGTCAAATTATCATCCAAACCATGGAAAATAAAGTGGTGGGCCAAAAGCCCAGGATTTTATTACTAGGACTTTAGTATCTGTCCTGTCCACTGGATTTATAACCTGACCTTACACAGGCTTTGGAAACCAGAAAGCATTTCTTTCATTGATGCACCCAGCACAAGAGAAACAGCAGAAAACTGTCCTAGGACATTCTCTGTAACTCAAGAGTTTTCTGAGAGGCTACAGAAATTGTTTCATACAGAAGTTTTCCTATCATACACATTTTTCAGGAATTTCTTTCGTTTTCTGGATAAAGTACAAGATTATGGAAAAGCCTGACCCTCTGAACTGTCTCTGATCACCAGTGATGAATGCAGGGACACAGGGAAAGTCATATGCCTGCCCAGAGCTGGCTGAGCACCCGGCAGCTCTCGCCCAGGAGCACACATGGCCAAGTCCAGAAATCCAGACAAAAGGCCTTTTCCTCTGCTGTTGGTTAGCTGTCACATACATCTATTTTCCTCATCATCACATACTTGAAACCTGACTAGAGATAACCTTTTGAGGTATCTACAACTGGGGTATTCTTCCAAACCAGCTGGTTTTCATTTTGTGGCCTACAAACCTTCTTAGATTTAAACAGAAAGAACCGCTGAAGAAAACTTGGAATCTCTCATTTCCAACTAGTCAATAAAGGGCATAGAGAAGCTATTTTCAAACAAACTTGTATTGTCCAAGTTCTTTGTTTGCTGTTCAGCTTTTTAAAAGGAAAAAGTATTTTGCCCATTGACAGGAAGGCCAGAAGACCATTCACAAAATTGTACTTTCTGCACTAATGTCATCAAAACCAAGAATTAAAAGACAATCTGTACATGGAAAAGTACATGGAAGCTGAAGAAAACAGCTTCTCCCAAGAGTTTCTGCATGCTTCAAATCACAGCTCTGGCACTTTTAAATTAAAGCTGTATTTATTTATTTATTTTTAGCATCTTAAGATGCGTTAGATATATCTCTGGCAACAAGTCTGGGATAGTTCTGACCTAAGCAGCCATGTAAACTAGCATGCAAAACAACTAGGTGGGAACAGAGACTTGGTATATACAAATCCCTAACTTTCTCAGGCTCAGCATTTGTTTTAAGAGCATTTGTTTGTGGTTACGACTTCATTTGTGAAATGCATATGACAAATTTGCAAAAAAACTTTACACAAAGAGTGAAATATTCCTGTGAGTACATTGATAGTGAAGTTAATTGCAACCAGATCTAAGTTAGAACAGTGTCTTGGGATTTCACAGCACTGACTATAACAGAACTTAGCAAGTTTTTAGAAAACATCTCTACAACTCTAAAAGCCATTTCACTGTAACTTGCTAACATTTGTTTGCCTCCCTGAATCTTACCTGCAGATGAAAAAGCAAAAGAGTAAAAAAAGCTGATGTGAAAACCAGGTAAACATCTACAGAAAACAAGCCAAATCCAAAGATGTCTTTCAGCAAGTAAGACGGGAACAGCAGAAGCAACCAGAATAGCAAACTCAATCCCCTTGGTTTAACAGCCAGGGCATACAGATATTTAATCTTTGAGCTGAACTGCTCCCTCCACCACACAAGCAAAGTAGGAGAGACATCTGAGCACGTGGAGTGAACAGCCTAGGAAAAACAGAGCTTTGAACCACTTTGCACTCACCGCTGCTTTGCATCCTTGATCCTTCTCTTGACATCAGCCTCCCGGCGCATAGTTATTGCAGAGTTTTGGACTTGACGTAGCGTCACCTGCAAACAGGCATCACACAGTAAAACTGCTACTGTGAAATTCATTAAATTAACTCACTTCGATGATTTTTGCCCCCTTCAAGAAGATCTCAGAAATATTTTAAATGTAAAGAATTCACAAATGGTGGAGGGTGACAAGCAGCATGCCTTTTCATTTAGGGCAGCACGTACGGCTGCGTTGTTTAAGCAGCTACACAGTTGCTTGGAAGAAAATGTCTAAATGTAACTAGTCTAAGGCAACTGAAACCAGAGGGTAATGGAGGCACAGGGAAACAGCCAGGATACCTGGATACTGTTGTTTCCATTAGATGCCAATAGGAAGTACAGTGATTTTAAGCTGGTGTCACTTGCTGACCCACCTGGCATCCCCACAAGCCCTCCTACTCAGCGGTGGGCTGGGTCTCAGCCTTGCCCCCATCAAGAGCCACAGCCCCACTGGGAGGAAGCAAACGTCCCCTCTCCAAAAGCCCCTGCCCAAATGCTTCAGAGCCGGCTGCACAGGCAGAGAGGGGGAACAGCCAAAAAGCACCCAATTTTACTTCTGTTCAAATACTTCACGTTCCCCTGGCCTCTTCTGCAGAGGCTGACATCAAACAAAGTGCCTGGGGGCTGGGGGTTGCCTTCCCACTCAGAATATATTGGAGGTTGTGGGCAGGGAAACGTCAGCACGCTTCCCACTTGGGCTGGAAGCCACATGTAGATGTTGAAGCACGTCCAGTGGTGATGAGACCACAGAGCTGCCTGAACGCTCTGGCAACTCACCGCCGACTGAAGTCGCCACCTGCTTAACCTACAAACCAGATGCTACCACTGGGTGCTGACCAGCCAGCACGGCTCCAAAGCCACCACTCTGAACCGTCCCTCAGTGCCTAAAACGTGACATGCTGCCAAAGCATAAGGCTCACCCTAGACTCCCGCGTGAGATCTCCTCCTAGGCGCAGCTCAAGGGCACGGGCTTTACTCTCCGCCTCACGAGCCTTCTCCTCCGCTGAAACACACAGGGAAAAAGATGATGTCAACCATTCAGTACAGACAGCGTATCATAAGGCATTCACCTGAGGAGACCGATTTCCAGAGAGCCTTTGCTGGACTGACATGTACAAGGGTACAAAGGTAACACAAAAAGGTACAAAACAAAATCTTACATATGAGACGGCACCAATGACATGCCATCTTAAACTTGCTCAGGGTTCGCAGCCAACACCGGCATAATAGCAGGGCTAAACTCTGCAAAAGCATGCTTAAAGGAAGGATCCATGAGGAAATTAGCGAGGAACTGGAAAGAGTAAGGATGCAAGTGGCCCTGCCTGCTCTGCCCGGAAGCGTGAAGGCAGCAAAAGGCTCTCACAAAACGAAGACTGAGCTCAGGCTTGAAAAAGAGTTACAAAGAGGTAATTTTCTTGCAGAGATGAAGGGAAAGGACTACTCTCAAAAATGCTTGTATCTTTGATAATTGCTAAATTTTGCCTGGAAAAAGACAAATCTGTGCTACACACAAAATATAGAATCATAGAATCATAGA